CACACATTGTTATTTTTCAGTGACGTCACCTTAAAGTGTTACTTGCATGAAAATGGTCTTATTTCAAAACTTCAAGCAATACAAAATATATTACTCATTTATATCTATTAAAAACAATTGCGGGAAAATATTTGTTTTGAAATTATCCCACGTCAGAGAAATTTTGATTCAAAAGATGGAAGAACAAAAGAATGTAGTAAAGGACAAATTATTAAGGATTTGTATCAATATCTTCTTGAAATCTGTTGCTTCATGATTATTAGACCCATATGGATAGGTCTATTTGATTTCCAAGTCTTTTCTAATGTTTTGCAATTTTCGTCCAAGTAGCCCTTTAACAGTAGATGTTTCTGTTTGGTCTCCCTTATTCTGATAATTCTTGTTCATTTTGAAGTTTACTCTTCTGGTTTTACTWGTGGCGTAAGCACAAGAATTGTGATATTATCTATCTATATTCTTACTTCCACAGTTCACAGGTATAAGTTAATTTATACATAGAAGTAGACACAATAGAAATGTCCCATATATCATTGGGTGGGGATGATCTTAGTTGTTATCTGTAAGACTGGAATCTTTAAATAAAGTGAAGCAAAAAGACCAGTGAAATATTTGACTGATTTCATCAAATGCATTGTTTTCTCCATTTATTTCAATGATCTGATGTCTCTACTCAAAGACCAATTTTAGCTCGGCAAATCACAGCATAATGCCTAAAAGTACTAAGTGCAGGGTTCGTACAGATTTTTACATGTCAAATTCAAGGATTTTTCAAGGACTTTTTAAGGATTAATTTTCAATTTTCAAGGACACCAATTACAAAGAAAAAGATACAGTTAATAAACTTATGGAACATATTTTTCTCAATCGCTATTAATTTCGTATTGCACAATAGTACAACAGACATTGCCAAAAGGATTGAAATATTATCAATTTGCTTCAAAGCTTGGCAAAATTGATCTCTAAAACATTACTTCACAACAACCAAGACTGATTCAAGGACTAAATTATCATTTTCAAGGAACTTTCCTCCAAATTCAAGGACTTTTCAAGGAAAATTTGCATTTAAGGACTTTTCAAGGACCTAGCTCCAAAATCAAGGACTTTTCAAGACTGTACGAACCCTGTAAGTGGATGCATTTCAAGGCAAACAGACTCTAATTCAAGCTATTTTCTCACTCAAAGTCCAATAACAGTTATTGAGCAATATATAATGGAATCAAACGATTGAGCTTTACACTGTAAGAAATTGTTTCCAAGAGACAATCACACTTGTTTATCTAAAAGTTTAATTAAGTTTTTAAGCCACCGAGGGCATTCTATACAGCTATAACTTTACACATTGACTAATAATTTATAAAACATAAAAGCACATAAATTAATCGTTCCTCTTTAATTGTAATTCTTTATTCTAAGCAAAAAACAATCAAGGAAATGTATCCAAGTATTCAAGTAAATCAAGACAATTGAGAATGTTAGAAGCAAAACAGCTTCCACAAATAAAGTTAAGACAATCCCACATGTGTTGCCTACTGAGCAAATTCATAAACACCTCAGTCACAAGTGGCAKTTAAAACCACACAGGTAACATAAACAAGCTAAACAGAATGAACAAAACATGCTTCCATATTTAGAAATTGTACATGTGTACATCCTGAAACTTTTCTGAACAAGAATATTCAGTAAAATTGGACCATTTTCAGGGTCGAATTCCTGCTGTCGGATCATTTCCTTTCAGCTTTGCTTAAATTTTCTGTATTTTAAATTGCACTCTCCTGAATCTACTTCAAACTCTAACATCTTACTTGAAGTTAGAAATTCAACAAATATCTCTTTTTCTACATCAATAAATGCAGTATCGAACCCCTTTATCTTCATATTTAACAGCCGTTAATCCCAATTTAATTTACTACATAAATAATGGCTGAACTAACTCATTCTTTTAGGTTGYACTTTTTCATAAACTTGATTTCCATAAACTTGAATTTGTCAAAACAAAACAACAATTTGATTTTGTTTTTCCGATAATATCTACCAAGTGGCCATCTATTGAACTGTGAGCAGTGTAGATGTCCAATATACACAATCAACTCCATCAAGCTTTGGATACCCAAAGATATGGCTACAAATTCAACTCTATTTCACTCAGAGAGTGTCGTCATTTAAGGGGGAGGTAGCAGTTGCTCTAACTCATCTGCTGATCTGTACAAAAAGGCAGCTGATTCTCTGTATCCTTGTATTAGATGTCGGATAGCTTGGATTTCACTGGGGCTCAGCTGGCATTGTGAACTGGCACGAGATTTAATTGCTGAAAARGAATTTTAAAAACCATTCAATTTCAAAAATACAAAAAAGATGCACACAAGCACATCAAAACAGGACAAACAAAAACATAAAAAGAAAAAAAGASAACAATAAAAATGTATAAAATGTTAGCCCCCTCTTCTTACAACTCTTGGGCTTCCTGTCTAGACAGGGATTCCACATCCTACTTGCTTTATACCAACAGATCCCAATAGGTCAAAATAAAGTTTTGCCTCCTTAGAAGGCTATGAAAACATGCAAAAACACACCTAACAAACAGAACTAAACATACAACAAACTATCAGATTATAATAAAACAAAATGAATAATTGGTAGAAACACATCCACACAAAATGGCACACATCAATACCTACCTGGTGAAGTTACTGTCATGCATGTTGCAGTCATGTTTGAATTAGATGCTGGTGGTGTTGCAGGTGTATCTGTGTCCAAACGTGCTCTCTTTGAGTTCTCTACTTCACTAGCACAGGCTGATGCAAGGATATTCTATTAACAAACAAACAATATCAGATACAAGTTAGAACTTGGAGAAAATATTTTTTTTTCCTTTTGATTTATGTAATATAAAATTCAGCCTCCATCTTCAGAGAGGTATTTTTTCATCATTGTAAGCCATGACATTCTATTTTGTTTTCTATCATATAGTGAAAAACCTCTTAGGATAATTACTGTTTTCAATATAAATGGCAATCCTTATTCCCATTGTAACATAAATGAAATTAGTATCCCTAAACATGCCAAAGAAGCAAAGTATGTTTTTGT